GTATCAAATATACCAGTGAATTCATCTGGAAAAGTAGATAAAGAAACTCTTTTGATGGAGTATAGCAGAATTGTTAATTTCCAATCAGAAGAACCTTCGTCCCAGAAAAGCCTAACCTCTTCTGCCGAAGATGAACTCATTTCAATCGTTCAGAAATTGATAGACGTGAAAGAAGTGAACGAAAATGACAGCTTCTTCTCGCTAGGAGGACATTCGTTACTGCTATTTGATTTGAAGAAGCGGATTTTCGACAAATTCAAAGTAACCATTGACGTACACGAGCTATTCGCTAACGTAACCATTGCTGATTTGGCCAAGCTCATTACAACTAAGAGGCAGATGAGAAACTTTGATGTTGATACCTCAATCATAATCAAGCTTCGCGAAACTTCTCAGGGTAAACTCAATGCTTACTTTATTCATGCAATTGGAGGATCTATATTTCCTTATCATGCTTTCCTCCACTTATTGCCGAAGGAGATAAATATCTATGCCATAGAGTATAAACTGCATTTCACTGCAACTTCCTTGAAAGAACTCGCAGCATTTTATGCCAAAGCGGTGGGTTAAAAGAAAACTTTGCGTATTTTTATGAATTGCAAGTGACTGCTATTTGCTTCAATCTTTCAACATTTAAGTGGCATACATTGGTATTTCTTACTCCCATATCTAATTTTTTTTATATATCAAACAGTAGTAATTCTGAGCAGATTTAGGCTGATCTTCGAACAGCAAGCAAAAAAAAATAATCAGTAAAAACAAGAATTGAAAATGTAGACTTCTTAATGAAGGCGACCTATTTTTAGAATGCGATTTTCATTAGGTTTATATCGTAGCAAAACCAGTCGCAAAAGAATGATAATAATGACTTTAGGTATCTGCACACACTAAGAATATTCCTGCATTCTTAATGGGCCACTCATTGGGAGGACTTCTTAGCCGTGAAATGGTTGAAGAGATGAAACTGTGGGGCAAGGAGGTTGGAGACTTATAACTACTTCAGCTTTTAGTAAGATTCAACCTTATTGAAGTAATTAGCGGCAACACAAAAATAAGTTTATTGGCATTCCAAAGCACTGT